AAGCAGCCAAATCCTCAAAAAGTTCAGATGACTTTTCCTGCTCTACTGCAGCTGTTTAGGACTCATCACTCAACTGCAGGAATCCCAGGGACTAACAGTGTTACATGAAAAAAGGACATAGGTACCTCTCCATGTCAAAGGGATGTAAGGATGGATGTGTGGAGTTCAAAACATAGTGATCTCCACCAAAAAAAGGCCTTAACTGACATGAACTTATCAGTACATTTTTTAGCTCCACATACTCAACAAAAAGGCAATATGGAGGGCCAACACCTCAACTCTGGGTTAAGAGAGTTCTCAAGCTTCTATAAGTCTTTGGGGACTTGGACAGAAATCATGGAAGAAAAAAAACCAAAACCAACCAATCAAACAAAAAAACCTCACAATTTCTTTTCCTCCACATAAACATGAAACTCGTGGACCTAATAGTCAGCAGTAACTTTCCTCCCATAATTTCTGATAAATGGAAGGGTAGTACACTGCAGGAAAAGGGAATGTTGAAACCTCTCAATGTGCAGGAAAAAAAAAAAAAAGAGGAGACAGGATTCTTAGCAGAAAAACACAGATACACAGACAAAGACTCTCTTCTTAGGAGCTGGCAGGAACACAGTACAGCCAGCTCACAAACTGGACATACAGAATTGGTTTGTAGTGCTGAAGAAGCATCTGGCATTGCTTTCTATGAGGAGGCTGATGTTCAAGTAGTACCAGCATCATTTTCACAGCAGACATCTTTAAGTAGTCAGGTAAGTAACCCCAGTGCTGCAGTGAGAATGCTGAGAATCTTCTAGGAAATTAGGCCAAATAGCTACAGCACCTCTGCACTAAGGAGTAATTGAACACTTTGATATGATAATTGATTATAGTGGATTGATTAAAGATGACAAGAAAGCATACACTCTCCAGATGACTTTCAAATTACAAAGCCACAAACTTCAAAGCTTATTTGGACAACAAAATAGATTTTGTTATTTACAATGTAAAAAAAAAGTACCCTCTTAAATGAGGCAAGAATTTTAAATCAGTAAATGGTGAAATGGCACAACCTGAAATAAGGAAGTAATCAATGCTATCAAATGGCTTCAATCTGTCCTGAGGAGTCTAATCATATCCAGATGATAGCATGGGACTGATTGGGTGTCTCTGGCAGCAATTCTTATCAAGGCCTGATTATAACAACGACAATAGGAAAAAGAAAAATTGGTTGTTAGAGGGTGGTTAAGAAGGCCTGAGGAAATGTGCAAACAGTTGCTTAGTTTGCTGTAAATCTATGTGGTCTGGTGAATGCAAGTAAAGGCAGCAACTACTGTTGGTCATTTCCAGCCATGCTGAGATGCTTTTCATAAATTCACCTAAACACACGCTGGAGAATAGTTTTACTTCAAGGTAAAAGCAAACCAATTTGCAACCACTTGCAATTTCTACAAACTAGCAAATCATCAGCAAAGCATCTTGACTCGCTTCCTGGATTTAAAAGCTTTTTCAAGCTCTCCTTAATTGCACATTATTTTAATTGCCATATTCTACCTCTAGAGCTGTAAGGGAATCATGCAGTTGTTGCTATTGATTTATATTATTATTCCAGACAGGAATCAGGACCATGTTTTCCTTGCCATAATAATCTTCCTTATAAAGATATGACCCTGTACAGAGAGTTTTATCTAAATCTGCATGACCAGAGGCAACAGGTGGCTACAAGGGAGCAACAGCAGAAAAATGTTACAGTGCTCAAAGGAAAGCAGTGGACTCAGTTCAAAGTTAAAGTTTCAGTCCTATCATTGATGCAGCACTACATTTCTGGGCTGAAATCTGATACCAGAGCATGCAGCTGACATCCAAAATTTGGAGACTGCCCAGCATCTTCTGAAATTTCTTTAAGGTTAATCAAATTTCCCTAGGCAGACCCTGCTTTGCTCAGTAGTTTCACATTGTGTCTGAATAAGCAATCCCTGCAACACAGCTCTGGTGCAGACAGGTGAAAACAGGTGTCTAGAGAGAAGCTGGGATTAATTTGTATTCGAAAATTAAAACAAAGCTCAAGATACACAAAGTCATTCAATGCAAATACAACTGAGAACCTGGAGTTATGCCAGTGCCAAAACTGCACTTTTAATTTTTAATGAAAAGTTACTTTCAGCGTGAGAACAGAGGAGACCAGTCACAAACCATGGAACGCTGCTTAGCAAAGGTGCAAAATAGCCACATAAGGACTGTGGGAGCAGATCACTGGATCCAACTCACCAGGCTGTCCTATGGGAATACAAGCACTGCTCTTTCCTTGGGGAGAAAGTACAGACATTTTGCAACATGTTTATGCCAACCGTGTGAGCTTCAATTTCTTCACTGCACAGTGTGCTGCTTCTAAACTAGGTGACAGGTTAAAGGTTTGATTAGGGACAAGAGGTGAGACAAGAAGACAAAGAAAAAAGTATTTAGGAAAGGGAAGGAAAGCCCCACTCATCCCACTGATAAACACGATCTTGTCTAATGGGAGTGTACTACTGCTGGTCTATCATGTCCCCAGCTGGACATGACCTTCACAATGTCTGATGAATCAGAGGTGTGTGGCTGTGAGAGGAAGCTTGTTCAAGATTAAAGGAAAAGCTGAAGCTCATAATCAAAAAAGACAATACAATTTTTAAATGCTTCCCACCACATATGTGCGAGAAAAACACCAGGACTTTATATTTAAATTCACATTTCTGGCCTGATGGTTACAATTGCTGGAACTTACTTTATAAAAGTATCTTGTGTGAAAGTTATTGAAGAGAAAGACACAGTCAGTGTTGTCACTGCATCAGAACAGAGGCAGCCCTGGCAGCTGAAATAGCAGACAATGGAACAGCCATGGAATACAAGAAGCTAACTACATCAGGTGGTATTCTCCACAGGCCTCAGCTATCCACTGGTGTGCAGCAATATAAGGGTGAATCCATACCGGAACAACATGCCTTCTTCAACCACAGAAGGAACACCACTTGCAATGAAAACCTACCTCTAACTAATCCTTTCACCCTTCATTCTTGTTTCAATCATACCTTGTGTAACCCAGACTGAAATACTAAGTTGGGAAAGATCTGCACATCAACAAAATATCTGTGAGGCAGCCAGGCTGTCCATCAGTCACTGCTGTTCCCCAGTCTCAGGAAAGGATTGGTCTCTTCCCTGACACAAGTGCAAGGATTTACATGGCATGATTATTGGCAGCTTTCAGGCTTACTGTAGCAATTAAAGGCATGAATTATGGAAAGGTTCCTACTTTGCTCACCAAGACCATAGTGGGCACATTTTAAGGAGGGAATCTGTCCCAAGTGCCTTGGGACAGACTTCTAATCCAGATTAGTTACAAATATACCTGAGTTTCTCCTGTGGCATCACCCAGACTCACACCCCTCTCTGTCTCCTCGTATAAACTGCCTGATTCCCACTGGAGACGATGCTGCTGTGCATCTTCCTCTCTAGGAGTCCTGTCAGGACTGCAAAGGAATCTGCTTGCCTCTCTCAATCCTGCTTTTACAACCCCATCCCACTGTGGGAAGACCTATGAAGGAATAAATGATCTGCCCACCCCATCCCCAGGTCCTGATGAGCCAGTTTTGTTACTGGGAGGAGAGGCAGAGCGGCCTCCTCCTGTCCTGTGCCTCCCTGTGCCAAAAACCCATTATGGTTATGAGGCTTTAAGTCTGTACTGCTTTGCAGGCTGAAGGGGAATTAATGCAGCTGGATTTGGAAGGACAAAGAAAACCAATGTTATACTATGATCGATGGTCATTGATCTGACGCTAATTAGTAAAAAAAAAAAAAATCTTTTAAAATATTGGAATTACATATAATCACTTGATTATTCATTCTAGCTGGTTTCTTGATGTATTTGACTCCAAGTACTAGCAAATATTTTTTACCAAGCACAATGAAAGGTAAGCAACTGAACGAAAATTGCCACCTCCTCCTACCTTTGTTCAGCTTAGCACTGCACTTTGCATGAGGAGATGCTTTGCATGAGAAGCTTTGCATGAGCTTTGGGATTTAGATCCCTAATGTCATCTCGTCTAATGTAAACATATAAAACCCTCTAATCTTTTCTTTAATAAAGCTTCTTACAGACGTCTCAGAACTCATTGTGTCTTGTGAAAGTGAGTCAGTTTCCTGTGTGAAACAAAATTTTAACAGGTTGCAGTGCCCTGTTTTCTATTCTCTGAAAGTTTCTGTATGAATGAGTCCTTAAAACGCCTTCTTAACCTGGCCTCTGGTGCCCTTTCTTAGGGCTCTTTCTTATCCACTTCCTTCGTACCAGCCCCAGCCTTTTTAATTCTCCATTGAAATGGACAGTTCTTGGAAATTATATACCTCAGGACAGCATGTCCAGTGGTATTCACAGCCCTTTCAGGAGGCTGATGATTACTGTTGCATGTAGTCACTGTCTCACACAGGTATCAGTACCTGAATGATCTTGGTGTCCCCTTCCTGTCTTCACAAAAACATTTTTCTACCCCAGCTTTCTTAGCTCCCCAGTGCCACACTCAAACCCTCAGAACTCCAGATGAAAGAATGAGATAAGGAAAGGGGGTGAAACCAGCAACAAGGGTGCTCCAGTAATTGGATCTGCCTCCATTTTCCACATCCTACTCGGGTAAAAGACACTTTGCAAGCTCTGCACCATGTGTCTGCTCCAGTTCTTGAGGGTCTGTATATTTTGAGCCCCTGCAGGAACAGAAGCTCTTATGATGGGCATCAACTGATTAACTAGATTTCACAAATTTCACTGAAAATTCTGAGTAGGAAGGACCCACAAGGATCACAGAGTCCAACTCCTGAGTGAATGGTTCATGGAGAGGTGACAATGGTCCCAGCACCACAGCTGTAAAAACCATCTGAAACAGACAAGGAAAATAGACTAAGTTTCTCACAGGGTACAGAGTGGTTGGAAGGGGATGTTCTGCAAAGTTGTAAATTCCAGAAAAAAAGTGAAAGGCAAAACTGAAAACAAACCTCAAAAATGTTTCCTTTGAGCCGGAGTTGAACCAGCGACCTAAGGATTACTTTTCAGAGACAGCCTACAGTCCTCCGCTCTACCAGCTGAGCTATCAAAGGAAGGTACAGGATTGCCAAGAATGAGTCAAGACTGCATCAACAATAGCCTTAGGCTCTAATGGGCCTCCATATGTATTGCTTTTCACAACAGCAAAACAGTATCCAAAAAAAGGCACAAAGCTAACTCTCCTGCAGAATTGGATTTTGGTGACAAACCTGGCAGTTTTCTTTGCCAAATAGTTCACAGCTCTTATAAGACTGTTGGTGGTGGTAGCATTAAGGTTGGAGTTCTTCTCATGACCCATTTGAAATCTGTCTATGGCTTGACAAAAAAATTAGCCCACTCTTTGGTGACCTTGCCACATTTCCTAAGCTGAACCATGAATAGAGGGAGACCTCCCCTCCACACAATTCTCCACAACAGTTCTCCAGCCAAATTCAATAACAAAACAGCAAACAAAACAGTTAACACCTCCCCAGCAGCTTCCACAGTGAATGTAGAGGAGCAGAAAAGAAGGAAAGAATCCATAATGAATGCAGAGGAACAGAAAAGAAGGAAAGAAAGGAATAACCACTGTGGTTTCAATTCAAATCCCACCAACTCCCTCAGTGCATGTAAGACCCCTCGAACACAGATGAGGTTGCAATGTCTGGCATTGCAACCAGTGGCCTCTCCAGCCCCTGGGCCTGGAAGGCTGAACCCTTTGTGAATCATCTGAGCGCTGCAGCTCACAGCTGTGGCAATTGAAAGCAAACTACACTCTTTGTGAATTACAGTGATTCACCAGCATTTGTCTGTCTGAGCAGCAGGGTGGGGCACCAAGCTGTGAGCAGACACCCTGTTTGCCGAAACCATGCCATCCTACTTGTGATGGGAGTGTGTGCAGCAGTGTTACCTCAGTGCCCTACAGCATATCCATCCTTAACCCATGCTTACCTCCAACTCCTCCTTGCAACTCAACCCCAAACATTGGGCTGTTGCATAAAGCATGTAGCCAGCAGGTTGGGGAAAGTGATTATTCCTACATACTCAGTACTTAGGACCTTGAATTTGGAACACTGTGGCCCACCTTGGCTCCTTGATACAAGGCAAGCATGAACATCATGGAGAAAGCCCAGTGGAGTGACACCAAGATGGTGAGGGGGCTGGAGCACAGGGTGAGGAGGGAAGGCAGAGACAGCTGGGCCCGTTCAGCCTGCGGAAGAGACAGAGGAAGGGGGATCATCCTGCAGGATGGGACAGTTTGGGGAAAGCAGGGCCAGGCTCTGCTTGGAGTTGCACAGTGAGAGGTGACAGGCACAACCTCCCAGAGAAATCTTGTTGAGATATAAGGGGAGAAAAATACTATGAAAGTAAAAATTTTCACCATTGCAAAGTTTGCCCAGAGGATGGAATTTCCAAAGCTTGACTGACATAGCCTTGAGTAATGTGACTTAATTTTCAAGTCTATTCTGTCTGGAGCAAGAGGTTGGACCAGCTGCTCTTGAGAGGTCTTTAGCAAACAAACAGTGATGTCCTTGTCAGGAGGGTGACTCCACAGAGCAGATGGACTCACAGCAAAACTATCACCATGTACACCTCTGCTTGGAAAATACTGCTCTTTATCTTAACAACTAAACTCGCACACACGCTCTATTTATTTTCATACTAACAAACATCTTAATGCTCCTTCACTGCTAAAACCAGCGCGTATCTTGAAACAAACACAATAAGATGTCTTCCTGGTTTTGTTCCTGGGAATATAGGAAGGTCAGGAAGTATTTGACTTATGTACAAGGTCCTGTTGCAGTTTCTCAGAGGCCTAATCCTGGGACCTGTGATGTGTCATGACAGTCACTTACCCACTAGCAACACATCAGCTGATGCTGTAAAGAAAAGCATATGGCTGAGAGAAAGAGAAAAGAGAACTGCTGTATGCCTGACGGGGCAATATCTGCACTCTCTGGGGTCAGATGGCCTAGGCAGAAAGAGGACCCCTACGAAAGAACGTGGGGTTAATCTTGCAATGGAGAAAGAATGGCACAACAGATAATGCTCCTAAATCAGAGCAGATCGCATAACCCCAGGAATCTAATATTTTCCAGTTTGCAATCCCCACAGCATTTTCAAGGGGCACTTCAGGATCCTTTCAAGCCAATTTAAGCCCATTGTCATGAGTCTGCCTTATCCAAGTTACCTTTCACAGACCCCTTAAAAATAATCCACTAGTTCTCATCCACACATTCAAGCACCGCAAAACTGAAAATTAATGCTCTACCCAGTTTAAGTCTTTGACACTGTCATCTAATCCAAGGTAACAAATACAGACATTTTAGGGGTAGTATAGCCATCTCTTTGCTACCAGAAGTTGTTATTGGTGAAGATAACCCTAAACAATTTGTACTCTCCTGTAAGAAATCAGTAGTGGTTAAAGTCAAGATAAAAATTCAAATGGATCAGATAAAAAGTGGATGCTGTTACTATCTATGCATGAGCAAATGGGATGCAGAAACCACAGTGTTGCCTTGACAATAAAAAGCATTGGAAATGTCTTTTTGTGCAACTTGCTAACAGTGATATATGGGTGATTTGTGAAAGATATTCTAAACTACAAATGTACCCTCCAGGGCAGGTTTTCAAAGTAGATATTCCTAAAAAAAAATTAATTAATTTTTTTCTTGATTTTTTTTTTAACTTGGTAAGCTTTGAATGCTTAATAGAATTAAAATTTGGCATGGAGTTCATGAAAGATCTGATTATTTTGATTCTTTTAACTGATTAAATGAAGATACCAAGCTTTGAGAGCCATGTGACTGGAGCCCTGAGCTGTATAAAGGGAACAGCTCACCTGTTTCATGTGGTGTAGAATAAGATGAAAGGAAAGGATGTAGCTTGAAAGCAGGATGGAGAACAGCCAGAGGTAAAGCTACTAATAGCTGGACTGTATAATTACACTTGGTAATGCTATGTGCTATGTGTTTTGTTAAACTCAGATTAGCATATGATGGTCTCCAGTGTTTTATATACTTACAGACTGACTTTCTAAGGTGGCCTTAAATGGTTTAAAGGTTTTTGAGTTTGGTTTGGGGTTTTTTTTTCCCCAGTGAAAAGATTTTTTTTTAAATCTGACTTATTCTGAGGGACTGGCAGGAATTGTTTTCTCTTCTTTTGAGGTGGAAATACACACATGCTCTGAATACGAGCATTAGACTGGACTCACAATAAATTTGTGAAATCTCCGTGTTCCCTTTAGTTCTGTCTAGTGTGTGTAGCCACTAGTTAACTGCTGTGGTTTCTGCACCACCAGGTAGGGATGATCTCAGGGTATCTCAATTTGACAGCTTTGTGCTGTTATTCCTACAAGAGGAGAGGAAGTTTTCCTAAAGACTGTTACTCACAGCAACTTGAATTTAGAGTCTAAAGCATCAGGAAAACAATCATCTCCTGCTGTTAAAATTCAAGATAGAAATCTCTTTCGGCCAGGGACTACCTTGGTATTTAAAGGCTGAGTAGCAGCTGGCACAACAGACCACCAACCTTGTCTGATGACCCCAGGCTCTGTTGTGATGTAAATAATATGTAGGACTCCTTGGGCCAGCTTCTGAGACAACTCTAATAATGTCAGTGTGAATGAATGCCAAGGGGCAGGAAGGTGGGAATGAAGTAAGAAAAGAATTGGGACAGTACATGAACGTTTCATATAAAGGGAGTTTGATCACCACAGTGTGGGCTGCATTTCAGAAACACGGAGTTTATAGGACATTACTTACAGCTACCAGGTTTTGTTGTTCTCAGAGAATCCATTTAATACTTCTGATGCTGCTCTGTTATCAGTAAGACATCCAGAGGGAAGTATCCTTTAGGTATTCAATACCTGAACTGTTTATGCTGAATTTTGCTACATAACACCCACCTGGGGTGGGTTTTAATAAAAATAAAATATTATCTTTACAGACAAACAGTTAATTCCGTTTTCTTCCTACGTATGGCCGGTTCTATAAGCAATAAATGCACAAAAGTTGAAGTCCCAGGGCCGTGCCCAGACATCAGATCCAGATTGCACAACCCAGTAGGGATGATACAAGTGCCTGAGAGCTCAGCCCATCAGCAGGCATGGAAAGCAGTACCCTCTATGTAGTTGTCAAACTATTCTTCAACACGTTAAATGTTCAGCCATGTTAAGTCAAGTTAGAAAATGCAGTGAGCAGCATTCCTGTCCTCTCGCCCAAAAAGGGTTCCAAGTCTTGCCCTTCTCCTGGTGAAAGACAAGACTAATGATGTATAAGCTTTTCTTAGATGATGATCAGCCCAGAAAGTTTTGATACTTGGGTGGCAATTAACCACAGCTAGGACACACATCACACAGATACAATATACTAGCTCCTAGCTGCTGCAAACTGTAAGCCATCAGAGAGCCTGACTCCTGTGCAGGTTAGCTTAGTTTCTGTCCAAGTACCGCAGCACACTGTTTATTTATCGGTTTGTTTGTTTGTTTGAGCAGTTTTCCCCTCTGTGTGTCCTTACTGTTTTGCCATAACAATTGTAATCACTGTGGCCTCACAAGAAGCTCAGTGGCAGCAAAACCTGCATCACCTGAGGGAGGGCAGTAGTGCAGAGTACAAAAGTGACACTATTTGGGGCACAGGAAAGCCCCTCCACCTCCTATGACTGCTTCCCTTCAGGTGGCAGTTCTTCCATCCGGCTACTTCCCTTCCCCTGCTCATCAGGCTCTCAAAGTATAAAAGCTCTAATGAAAATGAAACATGCCTGTCATATATAACGAGGAAAGGCTCAACTGCTGGCAAAAAAAATAGTGTGAAATTACAGTATCAGTGTGAGAGGGAGAGATATGAGCCCTCAGTCCCCAGGAGAGAATTTGAAAGTGCATAATTTTCTCCATTCATAAGTGGCATTTAAGGGGCAGCTTTTGGAAGCTGAGAGGAAAACCCAGAAGAAAAAGAGCACTTACAAGTGGAGTGAATATTTCTGTCCTAAATATTTGGGACCCTTTTTTGATACACAGGCTCGGTTTAGCACTGGGAGATGTGCATACACAGCCCTAATGAACTGGTGTAGTTCCT